TCTGATCAGACAGAAGTTATTCTAACCATACTATAAATTTATTACGTATGTAAATTATATTATTTGACTATATTCTATTTATTTTATTATATATTAAACATTATTTATTATATAAAGATATAAATTTGTATGAATTTGTAAATTTAAATCATAGCATTCATTTGTCTATATCATTAGAACATGCAGGACACACTTCCTGGCTAAGTTTTGAGTATAGCCATCTTCAGAAAATTTCTATTTTCTCATGTCTTTGAAATAAGATCTCAAATGCAGTTGCCGAAACTAAATCATTGTGTGGTAACAAATAGCATAGTAATAAATATTAACAGTGTAAGGTGTTTGCAAAACAGATATCCTCTGAAAAAATAAAATAATTTGTTACAGTCCTAAAGTCATCTTCAGAAGGCAATGTAGAAGAGTAGCTCAATTACTCAACAGATTAATTTGTATCTAAATAATAGGATTGATATTATGATTAATGAGAGAGAATGAATTGAAATCACCTCTCTGAGGTGATTTCAAACTAGTTACCTTTCTAGTTTGTATGATGACATGCCTGACAGGAACAAGTTATGGGACAAAGGATTTATTTTGGCTCATGGTCCAAAATCATAGTGAGGAAGGAATAGCAGCAGAGGCAACTAGAGCTTGCAGTGTAGTTGCTTTCTATCTTTGTGGATAAGGAAACAGAAAGAGCTTGGCCAAGAACTAGGTGTCACCTTTAGAAGTCCCTCCCTAGAGGACAATACGTGCCAGCTAAGGCCCACTGTACCAAAATTCCCACAACCTCCCAAAATAAGAGGTGAGGACCAAGTGTTCAAATACATGAATCTGTGGGATACATTTCATGTTCAAACCATAACAGTGACAGAAAATGCACAATGCCTTTAGTCAAAATTCACTTTTTAAAGTTTACCTTTTATTTGACTTACAATATCAACTTCAGGATTATAACTGAGAATTTCATCATATTTAGCAAATGCTTGGATGCTTTCAGTATCTTGATACTTGTTTTCTATAATATAACGTACTTTATCACTACCTCTGAAAGTATCTTTAAAAGTTGCTTGAAGCCAAAGTCAAGGAAGAATATATAATAAAATGAATTAACTACAATCTCTCACCTGTTTAAATGTCACATTCATGATATAGTATTTTGGGCATATTAAAATCTAGAACATGGAAAACATGTTCCTCTTAACTAATGACAATGGAACAACTACATACATAGAGGAAAAATAGCTTTGAGCCAGGTTTAGCCTCTATAATCCCATTACTATTCAGGTAAAGGCAAGAGCAACAAGAATTTAAGGACAGCTTCAAATTCCATAAAAACTTGAAGTTCAATAGGCTGGAAGAATGGGTCAACAGGTAAAGGGTTTGCCACCAAGTCTGGTGGCCTGAGTTCTATTCCTGAAACCCACATGGTGGAAGTAGAAAACTGACCTCCAGATGTGGTCTTCTAGTTATCACACACACTGAGATGTACACACACACACACATACACACACATACACACACACACGCACACACACACACACACACACATATACAGAGTAAATAAATAAGTGTAATGAACATTTTTAAAGGAAATAGAAGTTCAAAGGCGGTCTAGGCTACTTGAAACCCTGTCTCAAGCACAACCAAATAAAGAACTTTAATTCTGTATTTCAAACTACATGTAAAAGTTAATTATATGTCAGGTATGGTGGTTGTAGACCTATAATCCCAGTACTGGGGAGGATGGCTGAGGCAGCAGGATCTCAAGGTTAGGGTTAGCTGGACTACATGGAGAGACTTTGCCTAATAAGTAAAAAAATAAGCATGTATATAAATAAAGTCAGTTTTAGATTGATTGTGAGCTCAACTGTGAAGGAGAAGATATTGCGACTATTAGAAGAAAGCATAACAAAGTACCTCCATGGCCTGTTTTAAAGTTAAGCACAGAGCTTTCAACTTCAGTGCACAAAATAATAAAAGTAAAAGAAAACTATTAGTAAACCAGACTGCATTAAGAACATCTATCCACGAAAAGTCCATGTTAAGAATAAAAAAAGCAAACAAGGGAATAAGAAAAGATATTTCTACCACACATCTGGCCAATGATTCACCTGAATGTACTCCAAAATGCCTATAAACCAATATGAAAACCAGACCAACCAATAGAGGATAAAAAAAAAAAAAAAACCATCAACAAGGATTTCACAAAGTAGGTTTTTCAAAGGACTGGTCAACAATTAAGATGAAACTACAGCCTCAATAAAAGGGTTTTTCTGCATTTCTTGAGTACATCAACAGTGTAATGGAAATAAAATTCAGGTTCCTAAAGAAGCTACATGAAAAGAATTAGCACAGAGACCTTATCTGCACAGACAAGAGAACTACAAGCAATTCCTTTAATAGCCTGGACTGTTTATTCTGAAAATGCTAAGTGTTGGCAAGAAAGTAAAATAAAATAGAACTCCCAGCCAGGGGCATGGTCATTGATGCCTATAATCCCAGCATAGGGGAGGAAGGTTAGGAAGAGTTCAACCTAGTGTGTTCAGTGCCAGTCCAGGCTACATGACACCATGTCTCAAAATGAAACAAGTGGAATTCTGACACATTGTCACTAACAGTTTAAATCTGGAATAGCCCCTTTAGGAACTGGTATCATAACAGGCCTACCATATAAACCAGTAAGCCAATTCGTAAAAGAGAAAATATATATATTTTTTATTTATTATATATATTTAAATATATCTCCAGTAGAAGACAAGTAAAAAAAAAAAAAAAAAAAGATGTTATATAAGTCCTCTTCACAATACGTCAGGATTATGAATAAAACACAAAGGACATCCAAACTGGAATAAGTAATTAAATTATGATGTATTCATAGAATGAAGCCCTATATAATAATGAAAATGAGCATACTATAGCCACACCAAAACACTGAATTGTACTCACAAATATGACAGAAGTACTATACAAGTAAGGGAAAGAGGAAGGGAGGATGGGAGGAACAGATGGAAGGAGAGAGTGGGAGAGAGGAAGAAATAAAGGAAAGGGAAGGGAGACAAATAAAATAATGGATACCAAGTGATGCCGCTTATATGAAGTGCAAAACTAGGGTCTAGAGATGGCTGGAATGTTGGCTTTGGAAGTCAGGATGGTGGTAATGCCTGGAAGGGAGCAGGAAGAAGGTGTTTGAGGTCCTCTGTGGGAACACGAACATGATGTGTTCACTTTGTTATCCCCTGTATATTTTGCTGCAGCAGTACTCACCTCTGATACTCATCCTCCCCCTATACCTAGGAATATGCCCACAGTACAGTGTTAAATGGGAAAAGTGCTGGGTAATAATCATCATGATCCTAATAAAGGGAGAATGGGAATACGCATGGGAAGCTGACTGGGAAGCATACATTCAAAATGTGGTTAGTCATCCTCAGAGGAGAGCCTTCCGTGATGGCTATTTTTGGTTGTCAGCTTGAGTGTATCTGGAATTAACTAAAATCCAAATGACTGGACACACCTGTGCAGGATTTTTTTCATTAATTAAATCATTTAAAGTGGGAATACCTACTTCTATTCTGTATCTTTTAGGTGGGAAGATAAACCCTTTAATTCAGATCTTTTGAGGTAGAAGTTCCACCTTTAATTTGGACCACATCTTCTGCTGGCAGCTTATATAAGGGACATGGAAGAAGGAACATGTTCTTTTTGCCTGCTTGCTCTTGTCTTCACTGCCAAGTCCATTCCTGCACTAGCATGAGGGCCTACATCTTTAGGATCTTGGCATACACTGAAGACCAGTTGAGATATCTAACCTCAAGACTGAGCAAGTACTAGATTCTTGGACCTTTTGTTCATAGGTATCCATTGCTGGATTAGCTGGACCACAACCTGTAATAAATCCAATAGATAGATGGATAGATAGATAGATAGATAGATAGATAGATAGATAGATAGATAGATTCATTCCATACATTCAATTACTCTAGAGAATCCTGACAAATACACTTTCTGTTATTTTATTTGTACTTTCTCTTTTATTTTCTTGAATGAGCAGAAATAACCACTGGAGAAAAACAATTATCCGTATTCCTGCCAGCATTCATACAGAAAATAGCAGATCTGGATTTTCAACATGAAGCTCTTATCTCCTAGGAAAGGGAAATGTTTCAACAATCATCTTGAATGGAGTGGAAAGCTAAGCCAGACCATCAACCACAGCAAACACACCTTCCATGAAATACATTGCCAAGATACTCAGTGACAAAGTCAGATAAGTATGCTAAAAATGGCAGTCTCTGCAGCATCAGGAACTTCTTTGAGAACATCTTGAAAACTGTTCTGTTTTTCTCATCAGATCCTATTGTATCTACAGTTCAGCCACCAAAGAGACCTTCAAAATACTTCATCAAAAGTTTAGTGAATGGTTTTTTAATAAAACAAATCAGAAGATAGCCCATCTTTATCCTAAAACAAATGAAAGAGTAACAGCTCTCTCTCACTCTCTCATTTTCTCTACTCCCTTTCTTTGCTTCTGTCTCCACCAGCCTTTCTCCTCAGCTCTTGCCTTACCCCCCCTCTTTCACTCTTCTGAACCTCTGTCCTGGGAGTGGCAGTTCTATGCAGAAGAGTTCTGCTAGTGTTGGGAGATTTACTCCTCATCTCCTCTAAAGCTGGAAGTGTGAAGAAGGAAGAGACAAAGAACAATTACTCATTTCTTCTCTTCTCCCAGGGCTACAGTACTTGTTCCTCAGTCCCCAACCCACACCTGACTATAGGTCAAAACAATGCAGCTGCTGACACTGTAGCACTCCCTGTCCACAGTGACCACTGCTCTCCGTATGCTGACATGTAGGTCACAGACAACTAGAGCAAAGGCAAGTGCTGATGCAATGTGTAGCCCTGCTGAGGATGGGGGTCCAGAAAGCTGTCTGGGCAAGAAACATTCAAAATCTGGCCAGGGGAAGAGAATGTGTATCACAGTGGAGAAGAATGGATTCTCTCACCTGTATTGCAGTGCAAAGCAGGTACTGGGCCTGTTTGGAAAAAAATAAAAATTAATAATAATAATAATAATAATAATAATAATAATAATAAATTGCACAAGTATCAAGTCACCTGAAGATTGCAGCTATGATTAAATACTCTATGGTCATTCAGAGAAGCTTACCTATGTTAAAAGGATACAGAGCTCAAAAAACAAGCATATATTTTAGAAACTCCCCTAACAGAAGCATTGACAGCTACATGTAGGCTATCCATTTCTCAGGATGAACAAGAAGGCTTAGGTGGTTTCCATTGGGCCTAGCAGAACAAAGAAGAAAGATTGCGATTGCGTCCTCCCATTTGAAAGCCCCTCATGGAAGACCGTGACAGAGCTAGAAGCATTCAGGATGTAGCCTCAGGCCAGACTCACACTCAGAGGCTGATCAAGCAACTGTGTAATAAACTGCTGTCCTGACCCTTCCAGCACACCAGAGCAGGACTGCTGGGCAGGTTCTGGCAAAATTAGAAGGCAGCCTAGGGAGCACTACAGCTTTGACTGTTCTGCTGTCAGGGAGGCTGTGGGAAATGACAAGAAAAGAGAGGCACAAGATAAAAGTAGGGATGCTAACACTACGAACAAAATCCTTGATGGCTGAGAGATAGACATGATAAGCACGGGGGGAGAGGACAAGGGGGAAGCAAGGGACAGGGAAAGGAAGGGAGGAAAGTGAATGATATGCAGAAGGTGGGGGAGGGGCCAGCCTAAGAAGGAGAGTCCTTTTCTGAAATGTGTTCACAGAGGGTTGTTCAGCCTCAAGAGTTGGGGTTTAGAGTATCCAGATTACACTGAGCTAGATGTTTTTTAAGCCATAAATGATCCAAGGAATTTTTTAGAACCTTTTAATACAAAAAAGAATCAAAATGAAGGGACTAAAGAGATGGCTTAGCAGTTAAAAGCACTTACTTTTCTTCCAGAAGACCTGAGCTCAGTTCTTCAGTACCCACAGCATAACTGTTTATAACTCCAGGGGAACCAATGTCCCCCCATGCCTTTGTTCTCCACCTGCACCTGCATTCACACACATACACACAAGACAGATAGTTAGAGAGATAGATAGATAGACAAAATGTAATAAAAATAAATTATTGTTTTAAAAATTCAAATGTAAAAGAAAAAAAAAAAAAGCATTGACCTTCATGTGTCCAGGACTCTAATCCAACAATTGTTGAATCCTAACCAAGCATCACGTTCAATCTCTGTCCATTTCTCTTATCCTTCTCTCTCTCTGTCTCTCAGCCTTTCTCTGTCTCTGTTTCTCTCTCTGTTATTGTTCAATGGGTTTTTGTTTGCTTGCTATTTGTAACTAAAAATATCAAGTCAGGCTTTTGCTTTGTCTTACTTGTTTTTACAATCTGGGAATTGAACCTATGGTCTTGCACATGCTAAGCAAGTGCTCTACCACTAAGCCATAGGCCCAGTCCTCTTTTTATTTTTTTGAGCCAGGGTCTTCCTAAACTGACCGGGTTGGCCTTGGACTTGGCCTCTTGAATAGCTAGTATTGCAGGCCTGTAGCACCAAGGCCCACCTTCAGGTTAGTTTAAAGTACATTCAGACAGCATGTCATTGAATCTGTAAATATTGTATGTATGTGTACTTTAAAAAATATATAAGTGCAATAGCTAGACCTGGTGAGCACTCCCAACACTTGGGAGGCAGAGGCAGATCTCTGGGAGTATGAGGCCAGCCTTGTCTGCATAATGAGTTCCAGTCCAGTCAAGGTTATATCTTGAGAGCCTGTCTCAAATAAACAACAATAATAATAATAATGATGATGAACTTACAAACGACTTAATTCTGATGCTTTCTCACATTCTTGCTTTTCCTTCTGTTACTATACCCAGGAGTATTTGTGACTTTTGACCTTAGAAAGATGTTGAGAATTTTTTGTTTGTTTGTTTATTTGTTTGTTTGTTTATTGAAACTGTTTTCTGTGTGTAGCCTTGCCTGTCCTGGACTCACTTTGTAGATCAGGATGGCCTTGAACTCATAGAGATCCACTGGTCCCTGCCTCCCAAGGTGCTGGGATCACAGGCATGTGCCACCACACCCGGGAGAAAGGACTAGGAGACAAAGCTGTATCAGGAACCTTGGGAAGAACATAGAAGCAACTAGAGAACCTATATTCTAAGGTTGTTGTTAATTATTAATATTTATTATTGATTTATATTTTAGTTAAACAGTGGTTATTCCTAAACCAACTGTATACCCAAATCACCACACAGATAGAACGTATTTAGTTAACCTAGAGCACAATGCTGTGCAATGATTACTCCATCCTAAACCTCAAGCCCACATAGCTTCTTCCCATTCAAATTTCCCACATTATACTTGCTTTTAGTCATATCTTAGATCTGATTCATCTCTCCTGGTGGTTCTCCCCAATTTCTCCTCCAACTCCCTCTTTCTCCTCCCCTCCAAACCAGGATGTCTCATTCTATTTTCTCCATTGCTCAGCATTGGCTGGTTGTTTTATTGACATATAGAGAACAAATAGTGGCATGTTCACACAAACTTGAGACAGATGATGCTTAGAATAAACATCACAATGCAATGTCTGGATTAAAACCAGATAGTGGGGTAGAGAAATCAGCATTTGAATGAACAAGGGTTAAGTTGTATATATTCCACAAGAATATTATACCAATATAAGTTTAAGTATTACATGAAGCACAGCTGTGTAGTGGAAGATACTCATCTTGGAAGACCCCATATTTGAATCTAAGTAAGCCTGAAATAATCAGTGCATACCAGAAAGCCAATGTTTGACTTGTTCTCATTGAAAGCAGAGAACCAACCTGATTAAAGGTAGTGGTGCCTGCCTTTAATCCCATCACTCAGGAGGCAGATGCAGGTGAATCTCTATGATTTTAAGGCAGCCAGGACTTACACAGAGAAACCCCATTTAGGGGAAGAGAAAAAAGGATAGAATCCTGGAACTTGAATAATAAGAAAAGAACTCTGTTCTGTCCCCATCCTGTGAATTTGTTGTCCAAACAGATTGCATGTACCATAACCACAAATTTTTTTTAAGTATTTTAAATTTTTTTAAGTATTTTAAAATAAGGATTGGGAGTGGAAGTATGCCTCAGTGATAACACATATGTATTTAGTACATGGTGAGTTCAACCTTGCACAACCAAGGTAGAAGGAGAGAAAGAAGAGAGAAAAAAGGAGAGGGAAGATAGAAAAGATGAAAGAGGGGGAGGGGAAAAAGAGAGAGAGAGAGAGAAAGTATGTTATTTTCCCCACACTTTAATAGATCATCTTGGGTCCCTGGCTTTGAAGACCACAGTGCCAGACTGGCAGTTACTCCAAGGGAAATCGTTTGAGTGGAAAATAGGGTGGCTTGGTCTGGCTGGCTAAAACAGAGTCTGATGTGTGTTTGCAAAGGACAGTAGAGATGAAGGCCTTAGCTCTGCTATCCATTAGAGTCAGCCTAGAGGGGTTTATGCAAATATGAACAGCCAAGTTACCCCATTACCAGTCAAATCAGTAATTCTAAGGTTGGGGTTTGTGCATTGGTATTTCAACTACAATTCCCTTAGCTGATATCTGAGTTGCCAACAGCATTGAACAACCCCTTACATAAGGTGTTTTTTGTTTTTGCTTTTTTAATACACAGTTGTTTAATGTGAAACTACTAAATCTGGTCAAAAAGTATTTCATTATACTAAGCGTGAAGAAAATGTATTCCTCACAAATGAAGAAAGAATGTGGAGAAGTAAGAGGCAGGCAGAGAACACTTAGGGTTAAAAAATCATAAATCATATTTAAGAAAAAAGAGAATCTTTCTGCAAAATGTGTTCTTTTTAGGTTGTGACTTACTACATCTTAAAGTGAAAAAGACTTTATTTTTACTAAACCTATAGTACTTATCCTATAGAATTATTGAAATTATCTAATGAGTATTTCATATTGTAAGTATAACTCTTTCATATGTCAGAATAATTATGGCTACTTAATTTTTTTGATTGGGGGAAAAGTGATCTTAAGAGAATAAAGACTGCATCTGAGGAACTGGTTCATCAGGTTATACTAAAGGGAATAGCAAGAATAAAAATGTAGGCCACAGGCAGCTGGAAAACAAAATTCAACACAATGAATGACACACCAAATCCTGTGGGCATTGTGTGGGGAGGGGAAGAGGGGTTGCACCACCATTCACTGTTTCCTGCCACTTCCTGCCTGAGGAGCACAGTGCAGTAAAGTCTCTTCCAGAAATTATTTCCTCAGCTGTTTCATTGATGGATTTAGCATCGGTACTTAGTCAAAATGTTAAATCACTGAATCCAAAATGTTAAAGCATTTTTGAATGTTTACACATTTAATCTGGCATGCCTAAAGATAAATGTTAAAAGAAATGTGTGCTAGATTCCATTGTATCACAGCTCAGGAATGCCAAAAGGGCTGTGACAAAGAAATCAAGTCACTCTTCTACATTAAATGTCCATAATGTAAAAGGTGCTTTTAGTCTCCACTCTACCAAAGCTATGTTGACCTTATCTTTGGTATTGAAAACAGAGTTAATAGTCTTTCTAGGGCACTTACAGGGAACAGAATGGGCTAGCAAAGTTTATTTTATGATGTTTAAAGAAACTAAAAAGAACTTGTTCTAAAAATAGCTTCCATAATAAATTCTGGGAAGTCATGAGAGGACTTGGTGATGGCAACATGTACCTACTGTAGACTTTGTATGGCCACAAGAATGTTTATTCAACTGGAGATGGGTTATCACAATGGGCTCAAAGCTAGTACAATAATAAATTGTATGGTTTTACATGTTACTTTTAGGTCTTAAAGAGATTTATAACACCTTATCAGCCCTGACTGGCATGCTTATTTCTATAAGTCAAGATCTTCTTATTCATCATCTGGATGTCTCTCTAGTCTCTCCTCTTACTGCAGTCCATCCTCACCATCACCAGTGATTCTCTGGCCAATTCATCTGGGAGCTCATCACCCTTGGTAATTATGGGGTATTCTCCTATTCCTTGTTCCTCACCTCCTCCTCCCTTCTCTTCATTCCGTAAACCAGCTACATGGATCTGCATGCCATTTCCCAAGAACACATTTGGTTCTAAGCTCTGTTTTGTACTATCCCCTTTCATGAAGAATTCTCTTGACTGAGATCAGGCCTTTTTTACTCCTTTTATAGAAGCCTTTTTGAATGTTCCCCAGGGTTGGCCTTTCTAGCTCTGAAGTTACTTTACCTTCCTATGCATTTGTGTTGTGGTTCTTACAGCCATTACCTCCGTGTTACCCTAGGTTCCCGACATCACTCTTAACAGACTAGTAAGATCTTTCGGAGTAACTGTCTTGGTTAGGTCAGCTTGGTGGCCAGTGAGCGTTCAGTGTAAGGACCTGATGAGCACAATCAGTGAATTATTGAAAGGATATTTGCTCCTGCTTAAGGAAGAGAAGATGGACTACTAAATAGCTAGTTCATGTTCCTTCTACCTGGATCAAAGGTGAGAAATCAGTCTATAGTAGATTATTATTGAAAAACTATTTACTTGTTGCATTTGATATATATATATATAATGAAAATTGTTGTATTTAAATAATTTCAAAGTGAAAATACTTACTTCCTGTTAAAGGCACTGAACTGTATTCAAGTGGATTTGACACGAGGCAAGCTAAGAGGCCCTTTAGACAGGGTCATGAAGCTGGGAAGTGGCGAGGCTTTTGCTCTTTAGGAAAGCCTTTCTCCAACAGCTGACCTTGCTTTGCTCTCTCCCGGCCTCATTACTTCTCTAAGGAGCATTCTTCTTCCCCAACCTTCCTGAGCCAGGTGCTGGAGTCAATAGTTGAGAAAAAAAAAAAAGTTGCTTTTTCAAAGCTTCCCATAAACAATGCCCTAGGGTAAATGCCTGTATCTATGAAATAGCTGTTTATAAACTATGAATCACAGGATCCCAACGGGTTATGTAACAATTTTCGGAGACCTGTTTGGATGGGGCATGTTTTGACTGTTCCATTATCCACAGGCCTTGAGTTTTTCAGAAGTCTTCTCACAGTTCTAGGCCACATGTAACTAATAAGCTCTCAAGCTGTGTCTATCGGGCATCAAATAGCTATAAATTTAAACAAAAACTTTAAAAACATTTTCATGTCTGGGTAGGAGAACTGATTGTTTTCCAACACACAAAGGAAAAAACATGGTGGTGCATGACTTTAAACCCAGCACTGAGGAGACAGAGGCGAGTGAATCTCTTGTGAGTTCATGGCCAGTCTGGTCTACACAGCAAATTCCAGGACAACCAGGGCTAAATAGTGGGAGCCTGTCTTAGAAAAACAAACAAAATAACCTAAACATAATGACCTTAAACATATATTCTAATCCTCTACGAGCTTATGTTCAAGGTAAATAGACAGCATCATGCAAATAATTCCCAATCTAAACCTCAGGGGAGATTGCCACCTCAGAGATGAGGGAACTGACATATTTTCAGCATATGTCAAGAGTTTTACAAGCATAGCTTTATTAATCACTCAGCACTGCTGTGAGGTGGATATCACACGTAGGCCCATATTTACAGATGAGGAAATTAAGATTCAGGGTGAGGTAACTTCTCTGAAGTCACATACATAGCATGCAATTGAGCTGGAAATTAACCTTGGGTTGTCTGTCTACAAATCCAGTGTTCTGTCCTCCCACCACACCTTTGCCGGAGGCCCACAGAGTCATGAGAAACCCAGGTGAGCCAACAAGAGTTCACATGAGACTTCTCCATACCTTCTTATATCCATGCCAGCCTGTTGACTATGTATGGCCAGCCCCACACAGCTCCAGAAAAGGAAGTGCAGTCTCTGCTTAGGAACTCTCATAGAGTTAGCCTCAGCAGAATACAGCATGGACTCCAAAAAATATCTCATTTAATATCCATACATGCATATGATGTGTTTGGATAAATTCAATCTCCAATCCCTCCCCTCCAATTCTTATCCCATTACCTATCGCCACTTTCCCTCACAAATCTCTCTCTCCTCCCCTTTTCCTCCCTCTGCCTCTTTCCCTCTCCCCTTTTCCTCTTCTCCTACCCTTTCCCTCCTCCCATTCTCTCGGCTTCTCCCTCTCCCTCCTCCACTGTCTCTCTGCTTCTATCTCTTCCCCAACCCCCCAGAATCCATTTAGTGTTACCTGTGGTGTGTGTGTGTGTGTGTGAAGGAACACCTCCTGGAGCATGGTAGCCACTTGGTTCCTGCACCCCTAAAGAAAACTGACCCCTTCTGACCCAGAAGCCATCAACTTCCAGCCAAATCAAAATCTTGACTTCACAATGCAACAAGCAGTTGGCATCACCCTGTGAAAATTTCTCTACATGTGGATATTCCCTATGTCATTCCTTAATTAATTACTTTTATGTATCCAAATAATTTTATTTTCCTATTGTAATCAAAGTAATATATGTAAATAAAGAATTCAACCTATAATGATTACTGTGAAAAAAAATAGTGCCTCCTTGTGCCTTCCCCTAACCCCCTCTCCCCTCCAACAGTAATCTCATTCAAATGTTCATAGTTTTGTTTTGTTCATTTGTGTGGTTGTCAGGCACTGGTACGCTGTCTTTTGCTTGATGTGCTGACTGTAGTTTTTCTGGTGTAGCTATTTTCAGTAATTTCTCGCTGTGGAAGGAGAGGGACACTGTACTTTTCCTGTCCTCTTCCTTTACATATGTATCACACCTTCCCATTTCTTCCTCTGATGAATTTGATTTTAACATGGTTACAGTCATTGCTTAGTACTTACATTGTTGTTCCATAGCTAAGCACATACATTACAATTCATCTTTTGCTTGTGGCTCAAATTTCTGTCTCCCTGAAGTCAGATTCTGCCGAGTATTCTAGATACTAACACTAATTTAAACTGCTAATTCTACATCAGCTAGTTCAGTTTTTTTTCTTCTTAAAATTTTTCAACACATCACAAATCCCTTTTTCATCTTTAAGAAAACCAATGTTCCCTGTATGCCTTAGACATGCATCAAGCAGGCAGGCAGATACGGTCACACTTGATCCCAGAGTGCTGACTCCTTCTCATCCTTTGTCTGCACATGTGTGCTGTCTTCCTCTTTATTGTGGCACTCCCTCATTTTGGTGGAGCCCCATCCACAAACAGCTTCTAGAATGAGTGAAAGGTAAAATGTCCTTACACATAGAAATTAGAAATTTGGTTTATTCTCTACATTCTCCTATTCTTAAATTTTACTTTCTTCTGTATGCCGTCTCAGTCTCATGTAGTCTGGTAGAGTTATCTAAAACTGGGAGGCTCAGGACGGCCCAGAGTATTTTAGTACAGTCTGAGGAGAGTGAGGCGAGAATCCACTTGCCATTCCTGAACTGCATCGTGTGCACTATAAATTCCCGGGCCACGGTTGCATAAGGCAGTCATCACACATGTCTCTTATGCCTACATGTGTTTCTATTTAGAACTCACAACTCAAATTTTCCAAGGCCATTTTAGATTCCATTCTCACATTCTTAAGTGCTAATAATCCTTGTAGCATTAGCCATACTATCTGTGCTTCACAAATAAAACCCACAATTCTGATAACACATAAAATACAATATCTAGACTTTTAGACTTGCTGCCATCCACTCCTGGTGGCCAATTAAAAATCATTCCAAATATTAAATGGTGATAAAGCTTGGTATATGTGACATGACTGTTTCTTCATGAGGAAAACAATGCTTTTAAGGATGCATTTCAAGATATCTGAGTTCTGTGAGATGCTCTAATGTTTTGGCACAGGTATGAGCTTCTGATTTTCAAAGGAACTCTTTTATCTTATTCTACAAATTGGGTAGTGCATAATTCTTTTTCTGTATCTCAAGTATCCATCCAGTTAATACCAAACATGTATAACAAAAGAGGTAGAAGGACATATTATAAAAGAATCAATGCTACAAATGTATATATACAATCCAATATTTCTTGAATTTACTAACAACCCAGTAGTCAGCAAACTATAACATATGTATTTAATAACTGTTGTGCTGCAGGTTATACAATGTGAAAAACAAGGTTCCAGTCTCACTTAATGATGCCATTTTATAGTTCAATGAAATCATATAGTAGAAAAGCCTTTACCAGCTCTTTTGTTTCTGGTTGGGATATAAGCATCTTCCATTAGCTTTGACTTTCCTAGAACCACAGAGGACACACTACTCATCTTGGCAATCTTAGCACATGAAAGACTTATCATGCTAACAAGAACTCAGTATGTGCCTAGTAAGCAGGCTACAACACCAAAAGAAGATAAATCTGTATTTTTATATAAATAAAAATACCTGACCTTTCTTATCATGGTTATACAACCACTTTATGAATTTACTTTACTCTTAGAAAAGCTTAATGCAATGAGGTAGTAAAATAATTCCTTTCCGTCTTTTTTTAAAATTAAAGTATACATAGTTGAATAATTAAACTATTAGAACTTTAACTCCTTATCTGGTGGTAGCATGACGCAGCATTTGCTCCCCTCACACTGGCAAGTCCTTGGGTTTCATCACAGCACCCCAAAACAAGCTAAAACATTTCATCTGTTCCATTTCATATAGCATTTGTCTCTAAAATAACCTTCAAGAGTGAAGCTTAACTCTTTGAGTGTTAGATAAAGTTATTTGTGGTTTAGAAAGCACCTAAACAGAATGCCTAAAATTTCAAAATTAGGTAAAACAACAGAACTTCTGGTAAAGTTTCCCCCTAAATAAAAAATTTAACAATTCTAAAACACAGTCAAGTCAAATGAGTGAATGGAACTATTAACAAGTCACTTCTGGAAACATGTACAGAACTTATGAGCTTATGAGTGGTTAACTCTTTGGAACTCTTAACATTTGGACCATTGAAAGTGAGTCTTTCCTCACCACACACCTCTTTTCTTCCTGAAGGGCCTGTGATCTCTCTCTCCCCCTCTGTGAATTTATAAAGAGGAAAGTGATCCAGGACTTTCTTGTCCAGCATTTTTACTTTCAGAGAAAGAAAAACAGGAGTCCAGAGTGGTGAGTTATCCAGCCATTTTACAACTGAGGCTAGAAGTAAAGTGTCCCGCTCTCCCAGACAGGAAGCCGCAGCAGCAGTCCCCAGAAACACTGCCTGGTATCTCGGGAATTTGCTTGTCTGTTGTGTGGAAATAGTCTGGACCTGGAGAATCTAATTCCAAGACAGTGACACACACGTCCCAGATTAAGACGCATCTTCATTTGAACTGAGGCAGAGTGACAGACCTGCACCATGCACACTCAGAAGAACAGGAAAGCAAAATTCCTAACGCAGTATCAAAAAGCCTTCAGTCCTTTGCATAAAGAAACAAAAGCTCTTTGAGGGACCCTATGCGGACGCAGCACCCATGCCCAACATGATTGCCTAGTTAAGGTGATGTGCCCCGTAGCCTACAGTGGGCCATTGCTCCTTCTCATGCACGTAGCTGCCTCCTGCCCACTTCATTTCTGAGCGAGGTCAGAAACCTCACTTGCAGAAGCCCTTTTTCCTTACATCCATCCATACTTGGTTGAGTCCCTACAGGGTACCCCAGCATGAGGCTTCAAAGAAACAAAACCAGAGAAGAAATATGTTCCTCTTCATGGGACATGTGGTTGAGGGCTTCTTCAACTATGAACTGGAGTCATGGAGACGACATGGACCTGTGTGTTGCTCAGATCCATTTCAAATGTGGCTCTGATCCTAAAAACTGTGGAAGACCTCAACACTAAGGTTCAGCCTCTTTATGTCTAAGCCAGTGATTCCCAATCTTCCTAAT